TTTTTGAGTTATGTCTCTCATGATTCAGAATTACCCTCAATATTGAGTATAATTTCCTCAACTGAATATCAAACTAAGCGCTCATTTCTCTCTCAGTCGCAAATCTCTTACTCTGACCCAAATCCCTTCTATCTCAATAATCATTGGTCTTAAACTAACCTCTCAAGTTTTACTCTCAAATGAAAGTAAAAATCTGCCACGTACTACTACTACTTTACTCAACACAACTACTCTCATAATTTAACCAATTCTGGCTTGCTATAGTTATTTCTACAAGACTTGTTGTATTCGAGCTACTGTTGCTGTTACTGATAACAACTTTTTCAAAGGTCAATTATTTATTAAAAGTAATTTAGTAGCATTTTTTTTTCAAGCATTATTTTATTATAAAAATAATCAATTTATAAAATTTGTAAAATTCAAGTTTTTTAGAAAGCATTTGACTTTAAAAATTATTTCAATCTATAAATACTCAGTAATAATTGATAGAATTAAAGTGAGAGATGCAACTTGTTTAGTATTAATTACAATTATCATAAAACTATAAAATTATTTTTCATAATTTTTGTTCACTCGAAAATTCCAAAATTCTTTCAAACATTTTCTCTGTTTCCAGTTATTCAATCTAATATTTGGTTCAAATAATAATTACTTTACTTATTGATTTTTTTCAATCGCTAATTTTACTATTTATGCAATGTGTACATTTTTTTAATAATTTTTTATTCAAAAAAAAAAAGTCATTCTAATTTTTTATACAAATGTAACCACCCATTTTATTTTATTTTTTTTGCTACTCAAATCACAATTTCTTGTAAACGTTTACTCTTTTTATTCATTCTCGCGCTGATTCATTCATTCATTTGTATTGTCATTTGTATAATGCTTGCTCACTACTTCTCAAGAATGCCTTCCTCCCTTCTCGACTTCTATCCTATCTGATCATTTTTATTGATTTGTTTAGTAATCAATGCAATCGATCGAATTTTTTACTTGTGACTTACTTTTCGCATGATATAAATCAATTTTTTAAAACACTGATCTATTGATTAGACTGGTCTTATTGATTACTTTTGATTCATTTTTTCTTACCTACAAATATTTACACTTTTTTTCAAATTGTTTCCTTTAATGATAATTTTTCGAATAATAAGTAAGAAATCACAGATTTTCAAGGATTTATACATGAGTAAATGATTAATTTCCAGAAATTTGCGTATAATTGATTGCTCTCATATGCAGAACTTGGTATTTTATACAGCTCAGATCGTATATTATTAAGTCATTAAGCTCAAGAAAGTGGATTAGAATAAACTATCTTTTGATAGTTTATTCTAATCACACCTCTTGATATGATCAATTCTTGAAAATATGAAATTGATGTATTAATATGTAAAAAATGAATAATTAACTTTAAAACATCGCATAAAATTGAATTTTACGTAAGTTTTTTAGATTCTTTACGAAAATGTATACTTGCCCTGTCAAAAAATAACTTCAAACGTTGATACAACTATAAAGCAATATGATGATAGATTTCTTAAAATAAATATAAAGCTGTTTACATTAGTAATGCATCAGAATTGTCTGTGATGGACAATACAATTGCCACAGTATTAATCAAAGTTCGAGAACTGGTTGAAGGCTCTCTTTCCTGCTTCTTGTACTCTTTTCTAGCAGCGATACACGGCTCCTTCTACGTATTCATATTCATAATGAATTTTACAACTTTTCTTATTCTATAACAAATTTCTTGCTACATAAGAACTCGTTTTTTTCACGGTGTAAAGTAGGTTATAAGTCATAAACGAGAATACAACCCTATCTCAATTATCTAAAACTTGTCCTGGTTTTGAAATTATTTTAAAGCTTTCAAGCAAATTTTGCATGTCATTAGAAATGCTTCATACAATCTTTGCATGAAATAATCACTTTTCAAAAAGTTTATTTTTGTTTAATTTTGCAAAATTTATTAAAATAATTAATTATTGATCAGTTTAATAAGCAAAGGATTACAATTATTTTAAATAGAATGCAAAGATTTTCGTTTGCCTGCCATGAACTTTTGGCCAAGAACCCCAATTGAGCAAACGAAATATCCCTCCAAATTTTTATATTTTTGCTTAAAAAAGAGAAAAAAAAGCAAAGAAATCACAAGTAAAACTTTGAATTCGTAGAAAAAACTCTGAATTGTTCTGTCAGCAATGGAAATTTTCTAAAGTTTAAGAAAGTATCGTTTGCACATTTCATTCATTATTTTATCTTTTCAATGCAAACTTGTTCTGTCAAACATTCCTCTCCATAAAATGCCATTTTTGTAATTTATCCATAAAAACTAAATTTGCACAGATGTAAAAATGTAAGCGTATTGTGGTCATTTATTCGTTTTGAATTTTTCACACTATTTATCATTTTATTTTAATGACTGAGCTAGCTTTATAACGATTTTAAATTATCAATAAATTATCTAAATTTAAAAAACTTCTGCTTTTATTGCGACAGTACTAATATGGTCACTTCTCACAATCGTTACTAAAAACAAATTATCTATTATTGATAACAGCCGAATTGTATTCAGATATGATGTATGTTTAAATACACGTCAAAATTGTCTATTTCTGTTGCAGTAGTGTTCTGGAAAGCTTTTCTAACTGTTTTATTATTTTACGGAATATTTTTCTCAAACATCAACTTAACTAAATTCTACACGTAGTGCGACAATTTCCTCTGAATTTTTCTTTCTCTTCAGTCAAAAAAGCTGATCAAAAGCAAAAATTTAACGACAAAAAAATAGATATCGCTTAATTTTATTTCAGTTACTCGTAAATATAAAGTTGAAGTAATCAAGAAAATTAACGAAAAGCAGCAAACGTTTGCTATTTATTTTCAAGATTAATTCAAAGTCAAAGTTTGCTTTTTGCTGATTTCTGTATCGTTTCAACAATTCTTCTTCATTCACAACGAATTTGTAATTGTTACTCGCATTTTAAAATGTTTACAATGAATTATTTAGATGTTTGCGTTTGATAAACAATTATTTGAAGCACATATGCAGTTTGCATGATGACAATGCAGTAACAGCACTATACTAATAATGTGATAGATGATAATTCTATATATTAAGAGAATAATGATATGAAAATAACAATAAACGATGATAACAATTATCGATAAAGCAAATAAAATATCAATAAACTGATCAGTATTAACAATGCAGTTCCAACAATTATGCGATTATTTACACAATAAATCATTTTGTATAAAAGTGTAATATGTAGCACGACATTCTATCTAGCTGAGAAATGGATCACGTTTTTCGTACACGTGGCCATCAAAGATTGGCGTAAACATATTGGTTGAATGAGATTAAAGTTCAAATAATTAATTAAACACTTCAATACTTTTATAAGTCAACTAATTACTAATGAATAATTAAATGCAACAAATTATTACTGATTTTTATTGATTAAATGTGAGGTTTCAGACTTATCTCAAGCAATAAGTGAAACTTGTGAACTGCGAATTCTGTCTTACCATTTTTATGCATAGAAATTCAGAATGGGAGAAGAAACTGCTTTGTACTGCTTTCATTCTTTGCTTACATTACTTGCTATTCTCTCCCACATTTTATTTCAATCTTTGTCCAACAGTCTTCATCATTCTGACAGTACAGAGTGCTAAGTTAATATCAAATATGCTCACTTCACACTAGTCTAGCTCAATCTTTTTCAATCTACCTCATTAAAACACAGTCTAATACTGTAAACATATGAATTTAAAATTAAACTTGAATGTTTATCTGTGCAAATGCAAATTTGACACAAAACACAAGCAGTAATGAAAGCATTTTCCACTTCCATCAACGTTGTATTTCATTTCTTATCTGTTCAGAAACTTTCTCAGATATCAAACACTTTTCTAATCAATTATATTGCAAATTCCAAAGCGTTTACTGAAACAGTTGAATAAACAAATTGAAATACTACCACAACTACTTACTTATCCATCTACTTTTTTCATTTTCCAGCAGAATGAAGAAGGAAAGTTGTGTTACAATGTCAGGTTTTGGTTTGCTCTTCAGTCTCTCTGTGTGACAAATAAAATCATTTTTCTCTTCATAATCGTTCAATTAAAATTTTCAGTCATAATGAGAATCACGATATTTACGTAGTTTACGGTTTCGGTAGTTATCATGTACTATCCTTATTCCTCTTATTATTTTTTATTTTTCTCAATGTTCATTAATTTCAAATAGTTCTCAAATTTACTGCGAATTCAAAATACAAGCGATCTGTTGTAAATCTCAAAGTAGTGTTCATCGTGTGCAGTTATCTCCTACAGTAACAATCAATTAGTGAGGAGAATTATACAGTGATATTTTATAGTCTGATAAAAACTGTTATCAAAATGCATAGATTCATTTTCATGTGTCATGCAGTAGTTTGATTAGACATTATATCATATATTATGCTAAATACTGATATGTCTTATAATTCTATAGTCAAATAATACTACCCATTCATTTTATATGCAGTACCATCTATTGTTATTTAAGTAATCATTTATTTCACTTCCAAATATCACTGCAATTATCATCATCGTTTAATAAGTATTCGTTAAATAGATGATTCATCTGTCAGTGTAGAAAATTTTCTTAATGGTTGTGTGTATATCAGTAAAGGAAAGACTCATATGTAATCGATGACTATAGCTTGTTCTTTTATTAAGAAATTTGTTCTGTAATTAATAATTGTTAATTGATGTGGTTGGTGTGAGTAATAAAATATATTAATGATTAAATTGTCAACACTTTGCAGGTAGTGTGATAGCAGGTCGAGTCCGACCACGGAAAATGTTTTCTTGGCTTGGTGGTGATTCTTCTAAGAAAAAACATCAAGAGGTTAGCAGCATTATTCAGTGTCTTTTTTAGGTAGTCATAGAACTGCAAAAAAAAAACTACTTGCAGTTTTTTGATAACAACAGAAAAATAAAAAATTTGCTGTTAGAGAATTTTTAGGTCATTATTACTGTATTAGTAGCAGCAATAGTAGAGTCATCTTTCATAAATTATGAACCGGTGATTAATGATGATAATTATGTTATTTGAATGGGATTTGTGCAATTACCTTTCATCATTCAAATTTCGCGAGCTTACTTGTGAATATAAAAAATTTAATAAATTCGTGAACTCTTTTATGCAAATTTTTCACATCTGTTTTCGATTTGGATTTTAGTGAAGAAGTTTGTTTTTCCATTGCTTGCATGATGCATGCTTATTAAATTAAAATTATCAGCATATAAATTGATATTTTCAAGTACGCATATAGTACTTTGTAAACAGTTATTGAAAACTTACAGCTTTGTGGTTTTGCCCTATTTTTGGTCTGTTTGAAAAAATTGTACATTAATTTGATTGGTAGATTCGCTGTTACCATTTTTTCTTTTGCATTCAACTGTCCTTCACTGGTTTTTTGTCTGAAAGTTAATAGTGCTAGCATTTATTGGTGATTAGATGCCAAGAGTTTTTTAATGATGAGAAGAATGCTTCTGATTATTATGCAAAATAGTGGTAATAAAAAAAGTTTCACTTCCATTATGTAAGAATAATTATGCAGAATGATGAAAAAAAGTGAGGTATACTGTGTAATAGGAAATTAGGAGATCACAGTTACAGATTCGTGTCAGTAACGTTTTTTATTCTTCCCTGCAGCAGTATTGTTCGATTGAAATTCTCGTACACAGATGCAAAAATTCATTCCCCTGAAATGAGAGTAGCGAAAAATGTCTTTATTTGTTTTTGTTTTAGAAATCGCAGTAGTGGAGAATACAGTAAAAAGACATACAAAAAACTGAAGAGAGACATAGAGTAATATACAATACATTTTGGATTACCGGATTAAATCCGTTTCTCCTCCTTTTGCAGTGTGTAAATGCAGTAAAACTGTTCATCGTGAATGGTTTGAGAAAGTTTGGTGTACTCTTCTCTTTGTATCATTTAAATGCCAGCCTTTAGTGCATCTGCTGCTGATATTTCTACTGCTGCTACTAATACTACTACTAATAATAATGGTACCAAAAGACCTAGATTTAATAAACATCTCAAACAGGTTCTTGAAACAGTCAGTGATGGATTACGGAAGATTTACAAGCAAAAATTGTTACCACTGGAAGAATACTATAAGTTCCATGAATTTCATTCTCCAGCTTTAGGTAAGTCGATTCTTCATTAAGTCTTGCTTATCATTTGTTTTAATATTCGGTCCGCCCCTACTTTTGGGGAAGAAAATATAATTGCTTTACACGTAATTATTCCATTTATGTTGGTTTATCAAGTAGTCATTTCTTATAGATATGAAAAAGTATTTATCATAAAAGCAAAAAATGAAGAAAAAAAGCAAAACTAATCAAGAAAATAAGGTTTTGTATTTGAAATATTTTTAGCTAGCTTTCGATTTCTTACTGCTTAATAATATACTTATGTTAATTCTGATAAATTTGACTCTAAATTTGATATTATTTTCCTTCTGGCAGATGATCCCGATTTCGAAGCGAAACCTATGATCCTGTTGGTAGGGCAATACTCAACAGGAAAAACTACGTTTATTCGCTATTTATTGGAGGAAGATTTTCCGGGCATTAGAATAGGACCAGAACCAACTACTGATCGTTTTATTGCTGTCATGTGGGGTGAAGATGTGGGCTCGATTCCTGGAAATGCGCTTGTTGTCGATGCTAAGAAGCAATTCAGAGCGTTAAGCAAGTTTGTATTTTTGGCATTGCTAAATTCGATAAAAATACGTAACTGATTAAGGTTTTGGAGCAGTTTGTGTACTGTAATGACGAAATATTTAGTAGTTTGTGTATAAAATTTATTAAGTAGTTCCATTTTAGAATATGAAATGCATTCTTAAATAGATTCCAGTGTTCAGCATATCATTTTAGGTTTGGAAATGCATTCTTAAACCGATTCCAGTGTTCAACATTGAACAATGAAGTATTGAAAAGTGTTACAGTTGTAGACACACCTGGAATATTAAGTGGTGAGAAACAAAGGTATATTAACATCTATTTCTTTCTTATATTTCGAATATTTGGAGAATTTTTTGTTTAATGATGTTTGTGATATTTTTGGTAATTTTTGACCGTACTTTTTTTGAAATAATTTATATAAAAATAGCTGTTTGAAAAAATATTAATCGGGAGTTAACTTCTGATCACTTATTTGTGTGTATAGTTTTAACGGTATCTACTGATATTGCATGAAATGCAACTAGAATTTTAAATTAATTTTTGTTTTTCACTTTTTTACTTCAAAAAATTGTTTTGCTTATTTTACTGCTATAATTTTAAGCACTTTTTTATTTGTCTATGTTAGATATGAGAACTATCGTATTGTTTGAATGATTAAAATGCTAATGAAGTCAATAAAAATAGCATTTATTCTATAGGATTGATCGTGGATACGATTTTACTGGTGTTCTAGAATGGTTTGCAGAGCGTGTTGATCGCATTATTTTGTTGTTCGATGCTCATAAGTTGGATATTTCAGATGAATTTAAACGCTGTATTGAAGCGCTCTCAGGTATGACTATAAAGCTTGTAATTTCAGCACTTGTTAGATGAAAATTCGATAATATCGAGGCAACAAAAAGCTGTGGATAGAAAATTGTACTAAATTAGAATATTCTACTTCAGAATTCTAAGTTATTTCAGGGAATGAAGACAAAATCAGAATTGTCTTGAATAAGTCAGATATGGTTGATCACCAGCAGTTAATGCGTGTTTATGGAGCGCTAATGTGGTCTTTAGGAAAAGTTCATTTTTCTCAGCTGCTTACAATCTTTTTTTGAAAATTATGACATTAATTATTTACCATTGCAAACTGTAAATAGTTCCTAGGAAAAAGTTGAATAAACGTTTTTCAGGTTTTCAAAACTCCAGAAGTATCAAGAGTATATATTGGTACATTTTGGGATCATCCACTGCATTACGACATAAATCGGAGACTTTTTCAAGATGAACAACATGATTTGTTTGCTGATTTGCAAGCGTTGCCTAGGAATGCAGCTTTGAGGAAACTCAATGATTTGATCAAAAGAGCTAGGCTTGCTAAGGTATCATATTTCTTGCCTTTTCTGGCACTAATATATCTGCTAATTTTAAATTTATTTTTGAGTTCATTGTAAATAAGTTTAAACGTGATAAGAAATTAAAGTTAAAAATAAATTAGTAAAAGTGATGGACTTTTATTCATCTGAAATTTTTTTGCATCAGTTCAGATATTTCTGTCGTGCTGCTTATCAGTATATTTTCAGGTACATGCATATATTATTGCAGAATTACGGAAACAAATGCCTTCAATGATTGGTAAGGAAAAGAAAAAGAAGGAACTTATACAAAATCTTGATAAAATATTTGAACAACTTCAGGTATGCCTTGTTTTGATAAGTTTTATGCGATCAAATTTTTGATCTATTGCCGAATTCGTATTTTAATTTGGCGTTCTTCTTAAAAGTTGTAATTTTCTGCAACTTCATTTAGTAAATTAGTGTGACATTTTTAATTTTTTAGCGTGAACATAATATGTCTGCTGGAGATTTTCCTGATATTAACAAGATGCGTGAACGTTTGCCAGATTATGATTTTACGAAGTTCAATGCTATAAAACCTAAATTATTAGATGTTGTTGATGGAATGTTGGCATCTGATATTGGTTTGTGATTTTATGCGAAAATATTTCTAATCTAAAACCCCGCTTTTTATTTTACAAAGTTCTAGTTTGTTACTAAGCATAATCTTTCTTGCAGTCTTTTGTTGAATAAATAAGCTTTTGTCTTCCAGTTAAATTTTTAATCTTTTTGAATGCAAAAAATTTGTAGCTCGGTTAATGGCTCAGATTCCCAAAGAAGAAAATGTCCCAATTTCAAATGGTTTACCTTATTCATATCAAACAGAAGTTAGTTATTGTTATTGCTTCATGTTTTTCATGGAATAGTTGTTTTAGAAATTATCAAAAACTCCTGAATGCGGAATTGATCTTTTTTTTTTGCTAGAGGATTTGAAATATCTACTGATTTTTGATCATATTCGAACAAAAGCATGTTTTTTGAACAGATTTTTCTTCTTTTTTGTTTAGGTTCATGGTGGTGCTTTTGATCAAGTCGCCGAGTCGGAAACTCCATTTGGTTTCGGTAAAGGCGAAGGTTTTGACAAGGGTGCCAACGAATCTGGTTGGGTGGTGACTCGTGAAAGATGTAAAGCTGATGAAATATTCAGTGGGTTAGATCCTATAGATGGCAAAATAACTGGTGATTTTTTTAATTCCACATTAGCTAGCTTCATTTGTTTACATGATAAATTCTAATCTCACGTCATGTGTAAATTACGCAAATTCGAACTTTTTTCAAGGTCGAATAGCAAAAGAGCATATGGTTAAATCGAAATTACCGAATTCTGTGTTAAGTAAAATATGGAATTTATCAGATGTGGATAAAGATGGAATGCTGGATAGTGATGAATTTGCTCTTGCAAATTATTTAATAAATTTGAAACTTGAAGGTATAACAACTTTATGCATATTTTTCTTGTGATGGATATAATGTCTACTTGTAGTGTCTTTTTTAATTAAGTCAAAAATACGGATATGATCAATGTCGAACATTTTAATTTTTTGTGTTTGAATAGTGTTCTCATTTAGGACATGAATTGCCAGCGGAATTACCAAAACATCTAATTCCTCCATCAAAGCGTGCAGAAGACCCTATATACCCAACATTAGAATCTTGAATGTATTTCTTCTATGCAATTGAATAATAACTTGAACGGAATTTTTGGTCTCATATAACCATTCACTTCAAGCGCATCATTTATTCTTTCCAATTCATCTTATTCAAAAAACTGTGTACAATTATTATGCATAAAACAGTGTAAATTTATTTTGTACTTAGTCAGTTTTCAACTAAAACTCATAATTCATAATCTTTTGTTAAAATCTATCCAAAGTCGTCAAAAATCGTTGCTCACTTATCAACATGTGGTACCTTTTGGGACGTTTTATGATAATTTCACTTTCTCTTTGAGAGAAAACAGTGAGTCGGTTCTCTTTTGCATGACACAAAATGCAGATCTGAGAATTTTTTCTTCTTTATGGAATCCTTTGTTCTTCAAGTAACCATTCAGAAGACGAAAATTTTTAACTTTTCTACTCATTTATTTCTGAAAACGATTTTGAAGGGTCTCGTACGCTTTCTCATCAGTTTTTGAGATTTCATTTTATTTCAGTTTTACATTGTTAATATTCAACTATAATGGTTTTGATGACTTTAAGTTTTCAGCTATTTCACTAGCAGTTCCTGGTTTCTGCAATCTTTTTCACGTTCTAGATAGGAAAATTATAGTTCAGATTCTGTAGAATATTTTAAATCATATTTCTTGGTTCGCCTATGTTTAATAAGCAAAAATCATGGACCGTTTTGAAGCTTTTAGCTTTCAAATCTCAACTCTAAAGAAAATTAAAGAGGAGACGAATCAAAAAATATGTGCTTTCATTTTATGTCAATTAATAACTCTGTGATACAAAGGTAACTCTGTGATGTAAAGCAGTTCTTTTATTTCAGAATTGAGACTTGCTTTGAACACTTGTTACTATATTTCTTGGGATTACTTTGGTTGCTAACATTTTTTAGCTGATACAGTTATGGTCTTTTTGCTTAATATCTTCTTTTTATTTCCTTCAGTATGCTACTGTCTTAATAATAGTGTGCGAAGTAGGGGTAATTTAGTTTTAACACAGTGCCTGCTTGGTAGTAATGGTTATAGTAACTGACTGGTTGGTGTCTTTGCTTAAAAATTTGGATAATATATGACTTTGCTAAAGTACTTTAGGAATCTAAAATTATTTTTCTACATTTGTTTGGTTTCGTTCGCTGTTCAGTACTTGCATATCATTGTTTATTTTTTAGTATTTTAACATTCTGTTAAAGCTATTATGTACAGTCAGTGAAGTAACGTAAATGTAATGAAAATATATTATGTGATATGGAAATAAACAGATTTTACTCTGTGAAAAAGTCTCAGTTCTTTGAATAATGGGAATAAATTATGTAAAGTGTTTGCAGAGAAGTTTTACGTGACCCGACTTAACTTGTGCAATATGTAAGGGAGAACACTATATTTAAAGTCGTGGATTTCTCCCTTATATATTGAGATGGTGCAAGGATTTGTTGAAAGATGTAACAAATGGTGAAAAGGCTTGATATAATACTTGATGGAAGAATGTATTAGACAGGCAAGGTCTGAAAATAACTTTCAAACTGAAGTGTAATCCATGAGGGAGAGGTCATTTTTTTTGTGGGAGTGTCCTTGTCCATCACGTACGTGTTGGCAGTTTGAGAGAGGAAGATTTCATGTTTTATGATGGCTATATCTAAAATAAGTATTGCGCATAATTGAACCGCTCTTCAAAGATATCATGCATTTATTAAAAATCATAATCAAAGATGACGACGATCTTGTATAAAGGTCAAAAGTGGATCACTATTATTTAATATTCATTTAAAATTGTAATCACCATATCTCTTGTGGCAATATCACCTATTCCAAGCAGATTCTGATCTATAGTAATAATAATAATTATTATTATCAATACTATCATTAGTTTTAATATTATAGGTGGGAATCTGTTCGTATTATCCCACAATATTTTGGTAATAACGTGCAACAGCAAAAGTTAAACTCTGAAAAAAATCTGAAATTACTTCACTACTTTTATTTTTTCCAGAATATTCCAATCATCTTTCGTGAAATATAACGCAGAAAGTCTGATTCTGATAATTTGTATCATCTTTTGTATTCTTATCACTGTAATATTTGCTGGTGATGCCAAGAATTTATTTTTTATAAATAAATGGCAGTGAACTAATTAACTTCAATGAGTATATTTAATTTCAAATTAATATTCCCGCTATTATTTGACTTAGTCCTAAATACAATTTTAAGTTTAGTACTTTTTAAAGTAAATGTGTACTTGATTTTTTGTAAAACAAAATTAATTTTTCAGTGATAAGACAAATATTCAATGTCAGTGGAAGCACTGTTAAAATCTTTGAAAACCTTTGCCACGAGCCCTAATGAAGATTACACTGATCGTCTACATAGTTGCATTACTGTAAACTTACTTATCACTCTAAGTATAATCACAGCATGGAAAGTATTCAATGGAGATCCTATTCACTGTATGCTATCTTCACCTTTACCTAATTCTTGGCTTGCGGTAAGTCATTTGGTCTTTTTAAATTTTTCCCTCCGTTCTCGTTCATAAACAATTTTATTAACACGTTCACGTGTAGAAAGCTGTATGGTAATTTTACTCGAAAATAATTTTAATATTTGTAATCATTGCTAACTTTTTGATATTGCAATATATGCATTAAAGATTGATAGATGGTAAACTTATTATCCGTATTATTAAAAAAATATTAAATGATCGAACCTTACAAAAATATAATTTATTATATTATCACTGATTGATTTTATATACAAATATCGTACTGAGTTTACACTAAATTGCATCCAAGAATTCTTCTGATATCATTGCCAAGGACATCAACTATTTGTGAATGTATGCAATGACACTTATTTGGTGACACGCATAAAATATTAGAATAAAACTTTTTTTCGTACGCCAATTAATAGAAATAAATATTTTGAGTTTAATTTGGCGTGTAGCTATACTAATTTTATAGCATTTTCAATTGTAAAATACTTGATCAAATTTGGAAGAACAAATTTTTTCGTTCAAAAAATATTCAGTTGCTTCATAAATCCTTTTAGCATTTATTTTGCTTTCATGCCTTTCTTGAAAACGCTTACTATGAACGGAATGTAAATTGTGAATCTACACAGTCTTAGACTTGCCTCGTTCCCATTGTGTATTACATGATAATATGACCTTTGACATGTATCTCCTTTGCTAGTAAATTAATCAAAAAACTAAACCATTTTCTCACAAAATTGCTGCCAAATTACAGAATGTGATGCAATGATAAAAGATTGAATTTTCCTGCACATTTGACGGAAAGTTTTCTCATGCCTTCAAGTTAATTAATTAATTACTAATTAATAATTGATTAATTAGTTAATATTTTTCAATCCTGAATAATTGCTTAAAAAGTTTGAAATAATCCATCATCAATCTTTTTCTAGATTTTTTTTGGCATTTTTTATGCAGTATTTTAATTTCATTAAAATATTTGAAATGATTAAATTAACTGTTTATCAATTAATTTTCATATTTTATTGCTTAACGTTGAATTTTTTAATATTGTTAGAGTGATAATAGTTCAAATTTTATATAATGAATAGTATGCTTTGTAATATAGATGTATGCAAATAATAGTGATAAAAAGAAAAACGATAATAATATAATAACGGTGATGATAACGATGATTGATAAATGTGAGTAATTGAATGAGGGCGCATTTAATCATTATCATCTGCGCATTTAATCATTATCATCTGTTAATGCATTCAAAATCTTCATCAGAACTGATCATTTCATTTATAAAAATTGTTAAATTTGCTTCGAAAACTTTTTATTTCTTTAAAATTAAATCCTTTTACGTGAAGAGATTATACAGAGCGATCGTGAACAAATATATTCGAGATATCGTAGAACAAGGTTTCTGGACATCTATCAAAGTAACATTTGGCAAGCTGGAATACAAATAATAAGGTGAGATGAATCATTCGTTGCACTACCACTATCAGAAATTATGACTACTCAGAAATTTTAACGCTTTGCAAATGCTTTTCTGTAAATAATGACTAGTTTGAAGACTATAGCGATATAGTTATAATTTTATAAAATCAGCTGAAGTACTAAACAAAAAAACATAGAAGAATTCTGCATTAATTGATTAGTTTCAATTATTATTGATTCATATACTTATTGATCACGAATTCCCGGGATGTCATATGGCATAGCTAGGTTACTTCCGGAAACTAAGATTACTTGGCTAGCTGAAGTATTATCTCACTTTATCAATTTCAGATGATTTTTTGAAATACATCTGTGTGATATTTTTTGTTGAATGTGGCAGTACAACAAAACATGTTTTGCCTTTTTTTCCCATCTATTTCAGTCTGATATTACTTCACACTATCGATACAGCAATAGATTTTTTTACTCGTTTTCGATTTGCGTTGCTTTCAGTACAATTGCATTACAACGCTTCTGTATTGCTATTGCTAGCAGAGATTGGAAACGTATAGATGTAAACGTATAAGTATTCGAAGAACGTGAAGTTAGTCGTTTACGCATCGTTTAATTTGTCTAAAACGTAAGCTAGTAGGAACTGATCATCAAAAAGTGAAAAGTGTTTGATCACAGAAGAAATACAAAAATACAAATGTGACGCTCATAATCAATACTTTATTTTTAAAATTTAACTTGCAACAATTTGTTCATTAACAAGTTGCATAATCATGTCATAGCTATAAGAACTATTGTTTCAACATTTTGAATAAAATGATAAAGGTTAGAGGTCAAAAGGGAATATTTTTTGCTTCCTTTATTATGAAAAAACTAAAGTTGTATTTGCATCCACTACACATTTTACAATGAATGCATTTCTTTTTTTCAGCAAATGATTTTTTCTTCTTTTACACAAATAAATCTAGTAATGAAAGTAAAGTACTGGTCTAATTTTTTCAGAAAGGTCAAAAAAATTTTCTCTTCGATATTTTTTAACTTTTCGCAAGCTGACTGACCTCTGCTAATCTGTACTGATTAGTAATGAATTAATTGATCAAGTGTAATCTCAATTTTTTCATCTCTTTTCTCAATGATTGGAATTTGCTGATTAATTATTGCATTATATTTTAAACTACGCAAGTTATTTTTCGATATTTTTCTGCTTTTCAAAGCGTGTAAGCCTTTTTATTAAATATTCACTTTTTATTATTTAAAAAATTATAAATAAGACCTTTTGACCCTTTGTAAAGTTGAAATAGCTGAAAGTTAATAAGTCTCAACTTCCATGCTTTGCAATATTGTTTACTTCTAGTTGTTTACTAATTACATGTAAGGTTAAATTTAGGCTAAACGCGTAAACTGTTGTCAGAAATGTGCAATACCAATAATAAAAATAAGAGTAATTCAGTAGTTTAGTGCGCAAGTGTTTACCTTATCGTTGTGGACGGAGAGACGAATATGCAAATATATTTCATATTGATTAAACTTTGAATATCGATGGCAATCCAATATCAATAAATTATTGATTTATTATAGTGATTATTTTACAGCAAACGCTCGATAATAGTGAGTTTATTTATTCATCTACTGGTATTCTATATTTTCAAAATATTTAACAAAAAAATAGAGATTTCTTAGAAAGCTTGTAGTACAAATGAAGAAACTGCTTGTGTAGGAGTTCAAATGTTAAGTTGGAAAATGATAAATTAATTAGTTATTGCATTAATTGCTTTATGGCAACATTTTTAATGTTATTTGTAATTTTTTCTAATTTACAAATAAAAGAGTGCATTATTTATTAAATTTTCATTAATTCTATCAACTATTTCTTTTTCTCATACAAAAGGCTACTGTCTCCTCAGATGAAATATTTTTGTATTTACTTTGTTTTTGTGGTTGTTTTTGTTCATTAATTTAGCTAGTTGAAATGCAAAGATTTACTTGATTACTTTTATTTACTTGGCCATATTAATTATGCAGTTATTGATTAACTTATCAATTGTAGAGGTGATTTGCTTGATTCTTCTTTTTTAATTCATTTTTTCAGTCTGTTTTCTGTAAGCGCAGATATGACGTCTTGGCCCCTGTGAATGTTGTGATACTTTAGTTTATAGACAACTTAGTTGTTAATTACAGCTAAAAAGTGATTGAAAAGTTGATCATGATGATTGAGTCTCTGATTTCGATGATTCGATACCTCTCACCAAAACAGGACGATGATGCTACCGACCGTCTGCATTATCTTTACACTGCAAATATTCTACTTGCATTTGCGGTACTGATTAGTTTCAAACAGTTTGGCGGTCGACCTCTGGAATGCATGTTTCCTAACAAATTTCCTGGATCTTGGGAACAAGTGCTTATTTACTCGTGAATCCTGTAGATAATTAAGCTTTTGTATCAGTACTTGAAAGCAAAGCAATGTGATTAAATGTTAAAAGTGAAGAAATATTATTTTTAACTCTAATGAAAAGGAGACAGAAAAGTGTAGCTTAGTTTTTTAATGGAATATTCCTCAAACTCGAAAAGTCATGGGTCAGGGTTCATACTAGTCTTAATCAGTACCTTTTTGTTCTTAAATTCGAAAATTGACCTTATTTGCTTTTGAAATAAAAAGCAATTACTTCATCAAAGTTTCAAACTAAGGAATTTAATTCAAAGCTTATGGTGCATTTTTCGAACGTTGTTTAAAAAAATCTTGAAAAGATTTAATATAAGTTGGAAACAATTTTTCGTATAAAAATTCATTTTTAACACTAATGAAAAAGAGACAAAAAAGTGTAGCTTAATTTTTTAATAGAATATTCCTCAAACTTGAAAGGTCATGGTTCAGGGTTCAAATAAAACTCTTTTTTTAATAATTAGAAACTAGATCTGATTTTATCTGATTTTTAAATGAACAAATAAGTAAATTTATTGTTTAGAAAAAATTGACAGTAATTATATTCAAAATAAATAAATGAAATTTTTGTTGTTTAATAAAATACTTCTCAAATCATTTATAAAATCATATATATAAATGATTTTATAAATATAATAATTTCGTTATTGATATTCTTATTTTGCATTCTTTTTAACGTTTTCAGTACTTTCCATTTAGTAGTATGAAGTCATATTTATGAGCTAATATTCAGTGAACACAAATAATACTGTATTGGAAACAAAAGCTTTTCTGACTGGTTCAATTTATGCTACTAAATTAATAACAATTTATGCCAGAACATTTTCATATTTTCATTTTGCAGTTTTAATATTTTTTGTATTAATTTTTAAAATTTATATAACATTTTAAAACTTTTAAATTTATTCAACTTCTTCTTTTCAAAAAATATTGACATCATAAAATTATTTTTGATGTTGACAGTATGCGGAAAATTACTGTTGGTCACGTGATACGTATTACGTTCAACCAGACATTCACGTAGCGACTTTAAAGCAAGAAGAAAGGTATACGCCGGATCGTCAGTTATCGTACTATAAATGGGTACCATTCTTTCTGCTACTGCAAGCTGCTTGTTTCCGAATGCCAAGCGTTTTTTGGAATTACCTATCATTCAGTTCTGGTAAATTATGATTAGTTATGACATGTTATACTATACTGAGATGATAAATATGACTGTAAATATGATTGAATAAGTGATTATTAATTGTGTTTAGGAATACGAATTCATGACATAGTTGAAAAAGCGATGGATCCATCAAATATAGACGAAAGCATTCGAAAACAGAACATTGAAACGCTTACGCGACATATGCAAAATGCATTGAAATTCCATCGAAGGATTTTAAAGTTCTCAGTTTGGCACACAATTGCTAAATTTAGTTTCCACTTAGAAGTTGTCTTAATTATGCATAAAATATAAACTGCTTACAGGCGCGAAATTCAAGTTCATAAACGACTCAAAATGTTAAATATTCGTTACACGGCTTTTTTTATATCGCTGATGTATTTGCTTACTAAAATATTATACCTTCTCAACGCACTTTTGCAGTTATACATACTTAATAAGTAAGTATTTTTGATTTTACTCAAATTTTTATAGCTAACAATTTAGTATATTAAAGAATTTTTCCAATATTTATTTATTTCTACAGGAACTGAATGTAAAAAAATCAGCGTTATGGCATGTAAGCTAATAACTGACTTGGAAAAATTAGTAACAAGTTAGTACTCGCACACCAAAATGATTTTTTGACTTATAGTTCACCAATTTGACCTTAATTTTTACGTTTACCTTTATATTTTATTAATTTAAATATGTTGTCAATCTTGTAAAGTATAGATTTTTGCGAACTGACGAAGATACCTGGTATGGTTTTGATGTAATCAAAAATATACTTAGTGGCACCGAATGGACAACATCTGGTTATTTTCCACGCGTTTCACTTTGTGATTTTACAGTATGTTTTGAATTTATGTCACACAATAAATGGTGATAAAGTTGATAAATCCACGGTTTTATTCAGAAGTAAGACGTGAAATAAATGAAAATATGAGTTGGTTATGACTTGAAAACGAGTCAATTTCAAATAAGAACTATGCATCACTTGCAATCATTAAACTTCACATGCTCATAACTAATTAACATATATACATAAGTATAAATAATTAGTAATAAAGTTTAAAGTAACTTGTTAAGCGTGAAACATACAACTTGGGATTCAACAACTTTGAATATTCATCAGTATTCAATATCTGAATATTAGTACCGAAAAACATTTAGAAATTTAAGTCTAATAATAGCCAAATAATTATGAAGTATAGAATTTGATAATATTGATATTTTTGTAAAATGTAAATTATAGGTTCGTCAAGTTGGTAATATTCAGCGATATTCAGTACAATGTGTGCTGGTTATTAATATGTTCAATGAGAAAATATTTGTATTTCTTTGGTTTTGGTATTTATTTCTCGTAATTTGTACATTTTTATCACTTTTTTATTGGACTACTGTGCTTACTTTACCTTGTTTTGGCCGTTGGTTCATATCACAATGCTTAGAACTATCTGAAATAAAGTTCGACCCTGATGGTAAGTGATGGCTAGCTAATATTAAAATCACTGCTAGTAATATTCAGTTCAATTTATTGCAAACTTAACATTTGTAACCGTTAATTATCACTTTGTATTAGCTAAAATATAATTGGAACAAAAAATTTTGAGCCAAATTCATTATTTATTGTTCTGAAAAACTTATAATTTAGTACCAATTTTAATAATGAAAATGTCAGTAAGTATAAGTTAGTATCATTTAAGTACCTAAGCGATTTTTTTATTATTTGAAAAATTATCATGGTTATTTTTTTATTTAAAAATAACCACGATTTATAATTCAGATCAAACTTTCAAAATTCGAAGTGAATTTTAGCAAAAGTTTTGGAAGTAGATCGTTTCGTGAGAAGTTACTTACGTTATGATGGCATATTTGTTTTACGCATGGTTGAAATTCACGCTGGTGTAATATTCAATACAGATCTGGTACTCTCACTTTGGAATGCCTTTTATGAAATTGAAGAAAAGGTCGGTCTCTCGCGTTCTACGTTATTCTTTGTTCTAGAGTCAACACATATATGTAACTATTCAATTTTTGTAAAATATTTTACGTATATTTTTACGTGTACAGAAGTAATTTAAAAAAGTTTTTAATGAATGACAAACTGAAAAAGAGATAATTTTTTATTTGAAAATCCCAGAACTGAGTTCATTTTGAAATGAATTTTTCTACAAATTATTACCACTAAAGTTTTTATTAAATTTGAGTTCTTAATGACACAGTATCTCATTCTTTTGTTCATTATAGTACTGGAAAACTTGATTATTACTCGGATATCTAAATTAAGTCTTTTCTTAAATAGTTACTGTGAGTTTTAGCTCTCCGAAAGTCGAGAGACAAATGATGACTTCAATGAAAACGTTAACAATTTTATACGTGCTGACTTGAATTTAAACGATAATTCATTGAAAGACAAGTTGATCCGTTTTCGAAAGCCTAGCAAAGATCCTAAGTTGATCACTGGTGCGGATACAGTGCTTTTACCTGTAATATCCGAGAGTTTTTCTAACGAGCAAGGTGTAGTATGACTGTAATGTATATCACTTTTTATCACTGATCTCCTCGCTTTAATCACTTCAAGAGTATGAAACTTAATGGAGCTATTTACTTCAGAATATGCTAACTCAATTTCTTCTTTCGGTTTGTTATCTTCTCTGGTTAAAAAAAATTTTATGTGATCTACTTTTGCCTTTTTTGTTCAATTTACTTTCCCGATCACTTCAATCAATAAAATTTTATGTGATCTACTTTTTACTGTTTTTTTGTTATTTTGATGATTGTTGTACTTACTTTAATTCTGCTGTTCACGCAGTGCAAATTGCCGTCAGCCTTCTTAAGCCTTATCATTTCATTCGATCGTTAAAAGAAATATATACGATATGACTTACGTGTCTTTTAATGAACAAAACTTGTCAACAAATTATATTAAAATATTGTAGTTTACAGAAAAATTGCTCTGAATTAAAGACATTTCTGGCAAATGTTGATTATTAAATAAATTCATTGCTGATAAGTGTTAGCTGATAAAAAAAAAAACAATATGATGGCGGAAGTTTGATCTTTGCTTATAAATAATTGTAAGCTTTTCCTTAAAGCTTTCTCAAATGCAGCCTTCTTCTAC